CTCCTCCTCTCCTTCGAAAACCCAAATACCTGGCGGGCAGTGCCCAGGAGTTCCCCATGGCAAGCTTGGCTGCCCGACAGACATAGCCCCTGTCTTTCTGTCCCCTGCCCCCATTACCTTGCTGGAGGGTCCCTCACTGCCTTTGCTGTGGCTGCTATTTATGCTTATTTCAGGGGCGTTTTCCTGCTGTGGAGAGAAGAGCCTTTTCTCTGAACTCTTCCCCAAGCAACACTAAATTCCTAAATTATGCACGATGCAAGGGCAGGTTCCTGTCTTAACGTGCTGAGAGAGGAATGCTGCCTTTTACTCCACAACTTCAACACATGGCTTTGTACAGATATGATTGTGAATGATTAAATTTGCAGTCACAGAGGGATGGAACCTATTTGGTGACAAAGAACTAGTTTAAAAACTTTGGGCAATTTCACTCAGCTTTAAAACTCTGATGTTGCCCCTCCAGTGAAAGAAACCATATCAGGCTCGTTTAAGAAAAATGTAAGCGTTCTTCTGTACCTAGAAAAGGAAACTGATTTCCAGATTTGCCTGAACAGCTGCCTCGGCCTCATCCCATTTCAAGACTGGGTTGCCCCAGGGCAGGAAAGAAAGGGCAGCATGTGTGTTGGGGGTGGGTGGTGGGTGGGATTCTGTCCCCAAAGAGCAGGGGGCCACATGGGGCCAGGCATGACAAATCCCACCCCTTGGGAGGCAGAGGGTGGTTTGGAGAGAGGTGGAAGAGGCCACTTCCAGGGGAACCAGCCCAGAGCCAGACCAGGTTGAGGCCACAGAGCAGGCCCTTCAACCAGACCGAGGCAGGGGATGCACAGACAGCGGGAACTAGAGCTGGCCAGGTGTGATCCCGGGGGCTGCAGGACAGGACAGCTACTGAGCACCAAGGTGGTGGGGTGTGGGGCAGGCTCAGAGGACAGCAGGAAGAGATTGGCCTACAGGTGACAGAGAGGGACACCATGACAGGGAGAATTGGGGACTGGGGGTTTCCCCCTTGGTGCGCATTGCAACAAAGTGGAGGGGACAGTGTCATTCTTTCTGGCCCCCAGCAAGTGCACTGCTTCACCCGTTGGGGACCCCTACCAGAGGAGGAGAGTGCAGCCTCCCCCTGGGGACTGGCTCTGCAGGACAGTGTGCAACCCCCACTTCCCTTACCCTCCTGGGGACTTGGGAGCCACCAGAGTTCTTGTCACAGATTCTTCCCATGATCATGTCAGCCCAAGCTGGTCTCTGCTGCGTGCAGCTGAGAACCCTACTTGCGGCACAGATTGCACGTGCATCTTCATCCACCCTAAAGCCGGCTCTTCCAGGGCTGGAGGGGCCCACAGTGATTCCTGAGCCTCCGGCACCCAACCCGTCCGTTTCACTGGGGACAGCCCAGCACACCCCTAGTTCACTTCCCCTGCAGGACGTCCACTGACAGAGTTGGGCATGGCCGTCTCGTTACTTGTAGGTTACTCTGACAAACATTAGCATGCAAAGCTGCTCAGTGCCAGGAGGACGTGCGCATGAGTCAGAAGGAATGGGAGAGGAGAGGGCGGCAAAGTGGTTCTGAGAAAAGAAAGAAATGCTGCACTCACCCTAAATGGGCACTGAGGACGTGGGCTGGGGGTGCAGGGTGGGCTGGAGGAGCTTTCCATAGGTGGGGACAGCTGGGGGGCCTCGTGGAGGACAGGTCGGATTGGGGTCTGGGGTTGGCCAGAGAAAGTCATTCCAGGTGGGGGCGCAGGCTGGAGTTGAGGTGCCAGGGGCAGGGAGTGGTGGGGACAAACAGGGATGACCCTTGGCCTTCTGAATGAGGCTGGACAGGAGGCTTGGAGTTCCTTCAATGGGTGAGTCACCTATAAGCCCTGGGCACCCCACCTGCCCACAGCAGGTGTTGGAAGTAGCCCCTTCCCCAAGCCTGCACTATGGGTGGAAGAAGCCCCCACAGCTGGCCCTGCTGGTCCCCAGGGTACACTCAGTGCTGGTGTGGACACTGAGGGACACACCTGTTCTCCAGGGAAATGGCATGAACTCAGGTGGGTCCGGAGGCTCCTGAGGGCTTCCTGGAGGGCCGGGAGGGAGACTGCTCCACCCACAGTGTAGCCCGGGGGGTAGGGGTCAGCAGCCCACCTGGCAGCCCCCTCCCGCAGCCGCAGACTTCAGTGGGGGGAGCTCACCCCGAGGGATGGCCGTGAGTCCTCTCCCCTGAACTCCTCCAAGGAGCTTTTCCCACTTACCAGACTTGCACTTAGGCCCCCTACTCGCCATTTCTCCCCAGTCTCGAGCTAAAGGTCCCCAGAGTCTTCCCTGTTCTCAGGAACCCTGGTGTGTCCCCAGCTTCCAGTATCCTTCCCGATCAGCCCCAGTTCTGGGCAATGACTCATCGCCCAGCCTGGCCCAGCCCACCATCCAGGCACATTCCCATGGCTTTCTTCTGAAGACAGTGCCCCCAAGTGGGACCCCAGCTTCCAGGGTGCCCTGCCCAGACCTGCAGGACAGCTGGGTCCACAGGATGCCCACCAGGGCAGGGGCACAGGCAGGCTACCACTCCACCTATAGTCAGGGAAAACCCTCAGGTTTCTCCAGAGTTCTGCTGCCAGGCAGAACTACCTGCATATACCGCGCGGTGCTTGTGTGCTGTTTCGGTTTTTACTTCTTAAACACAGGGGTTTGTTTTTATTGCTATGAAATTCTGTTGTGATATGTGTGCCTGCGCTGTCATATGTGTGCAGCCTGGAAACTGTCATCTGTACCCGAGGTGGCCTTCCCATGCCCGCCTCACTTCTAGGGGAACTCATGGGCCTCAGGATACTCCCATAAATCCTTGACAAGAATGTGGAACAGGATGGGCCCAACAAGCCCCTTGCGGCCACTTGGGCGCCCACACTGTGTTTCCTCATCTTACCCCGAGGGTATCAGAGAAGCCGTCATCCAGTGCCTCTCCAGAAACTATTCCCTCTGAGCACAATTCTCCCCTAAGGTTGGGTGCCGAAGAGTCAGGGCCCTAAGTCCCTGGCCCTGCCCCAAAAGGCAATGGGCACAGTCTATGGTTGCATGTGCGGCCTTTGGCCACCTGCCCCCTTCCTATGGTGCCCCATTGCCTTGGGGACGACTCGTGCCTACTGTGTGCCATCCTGGCCCTGGCTTCCAGAAGCACAGGCCCTGGCCAGGGGTGGCCCCTGCCCAGTCTTGGTCAGTCCCATGCCAGCTCCCTCTCCTAGGACCCTGGTGGGGCAGGGGCACAGCACACATGGGGTGACTTCAGGGGTGCCACCAGCGCTCCTGGCTTCCTGCACATGGTCCCTGTGCCTGGCTGGGCCCCCAGCCCTCTGTGCCAGTCTGTTCTTCCCTTTTGTTTAAGGCAGCTGGGTAGCTCTGTCACCTGCAACCAGGACCCATTCTCCACCTGCACCTCTGCCCCATTCAGGGCTTCAGCCTCTCCCATTCTGACTCTGTTCCAGCTCGAGTCTATGGGCTGGGCCAGTGCCCTGGTCTGTGGCTTGTGGAATCCGTCCATCCATCCGTCTGCCTCCTCGCTGTGACCCCCGCTCGGCCCTGCCTGACCTTTGCAGCTCTTCCCAGCTTCCTGCCTGGTCCTGAGCCTCCAGCTCGGGAGCTAGGCGAGTGCTGGGCCTTGGGAGGCCAGGCCTGAGTTCGAGCCAACATCACTTCCAGCAGTGGGACCTTGGCCTGTTTCTGAATCCCAAAGCCTCAGTTTCCCCATCTGTAAAGTGGCAATCACAACAGGCCCCACCTCTGAAGAGCTGTGCATGTGAAGAGCTTCAGGAGAGCTGGCTCCTTGAATGGGGTCGCATGCCAGCTCCCCCGCATTTTACTCAGGGGTCCCAGGGCCCACTGGAATTCCAGAGACTGGGACCTCAGAACCTCCCCCCATCTACCTGCCAGGGGAGTGGGCTTCAGGGGCTGGAGTTGGACCCCCAGGATCTGGTGAGGACCAACGAGGAGCCCAAGAATTCCCAGTGCGGCTCTGGCCTCCAGGCTCCAAGATCCTCCAGGAATTTGGAAGGGCCAGGCTGGTCAGGGTGGGTCTGGGGTGCCATGAGTACAGGGGCTGCCCAGCACAGCCTGGGGACAAGGAGGTGGCCAGCAGCCAGACCCTGAGCAGGGAGTGCAAAGACCCCACCCCAGCTGCACCACAGAGAGGCTGAGAAAGTGGACATTCAGGCCGAGGAGGAAGACAAGGCCTGGGGGACGGGGCGGGTGGGGTCCAGGGGAAAAGCTCTCCCTGCCCACGCGTCCCCCAGAGCCAGCAGCGAGCTCTGGGCGTGGGTGAGTGCTGGTTCTGTGCAGTGCCCCACTTGACAAGTCATTCTTGATCTGGCACACTTGCGAAGGTGGGAGGGTACAACACCGTTCATGTTTCAGTTTGCCTGCTTGGCTTATAACCGGTAAATATCCAGACCCATGCATGGGATGTTCTGGGGCTCCCAGGCTGGTGGCACAGCCCGGCCCCAAGTACCATCAGGAACAAGGTGGACAGGGAACTGTCTGCAGGACCCTCGTACTGCCCCTGCCTGGGGAGGGAGGATTCCTTCTCCTTACTCACGGGGGTCCACACGCAGGCTTGGGGCCGGCGGTCCTGGGCTCAGACCTGGCAAATTGTTCTTCCTGCCTCAGTTTCCACGTCTGTGAAGTAGAGGTGCTAGGAGAACCCGGTCAGGGGCATGTGAGGATGAGATTGTGCAGAAGTGACACCTGGTGCCAACACCCATTGTGATCTGGGGCAAGTGGAGGTCATCAACAGCCACAGGAAGGGCGACCCTCCTTCCGTCACTCTGGTTCACATGGAGCATCGAGGGCGTCATCGGCCACCTTTAGCATGTAGGGCCTTTGTGAGGACACAAAGCGATCAATGAAGAAAGATCGTAGGTCACTCAGAAACCCCGTCCTAAAGAGCTCTGGGGCGGGCCCCGGGATGGGTGCCCTGGCACGGGCGTGCTGGGGGAGAGGCTGCGGTGACAGTGCCTGGCTCCGTCTGTTGCAGCACACCACCTCTTCATGGTCACCGCCTGCCAGGATGCGGACTACAGCGCCCTCCTCCAGGAGCTCTGCCTCACACAGTTCAAGGACGACATGGAGGCCGTGGGGAAGACACTGTGGTGCGACTGGGGCAAGACCATCGGGTGAGTCCTGTGTGTCCAGGTGGGCGGGCTGTGGCTGCAGACTGCATGGGGGAGGGTGAAAATGAAGGTGGGGAGGCCGTGTCCTCAACAACCCAGGTGGAGGTGGACGGTGGGGCCCTGTGGCAGCAGGACTCGGGGAAGCTGAGTCTCTGTGACAGGAGCCCGGCTTGCAGGGACGTCCCTGCTGGTTCCCTTGGTCCCCATGGTCAGGCCAAAACTGTCCTTCCCACTCCACCCCTGGCCCAAGGCCCCACCCTGTCCAGGGCTCAGAGCCATCCGGAACAACAGGGCAGGCTGTCACTGGAGTGGCAGCCCTCTGCCCCTGCTGAGGATGTCTGGTGTGGGCCCTTCCCCTGTGTGGCCCAGTCCTCCTGCCAAATGGCCCTTCTTCTCACTGCACCGGGCTCATTCGCTGCCTCCCAGGGCCTTTTGCGCCCAGGCTCCCCTACCTTCGGGAGCAGGGATTGGACCTGGCGTGCCAGTGATCAATTTTCTAGTCTTCATTTCTGCTTCAGTGTTTGGTGTGCTGGGGGCACCCTGGGGTTCGAGTCGATGAGTTGCAGGGTCAGCAGTATGTGCGTGTGCACGAGGCTGTGGGCTGCCCCCTCCCAGCCCTGGCATCTGCATGCAGAGATCTGTGCATGGGTTTACAGCACAGCGCACAACACACAGTAGGGGTGCAAGTCCCAGTGCCCCACAAACGACGGGCACTTTCCTCTAGTGAATGTGAGAGAGAAGAGGGAGCCCTGGGGAGGGGGTCCTGAGAAGGGTCTCCAAGGAGGAAAGGTCTAGCCAGGATCACACACAAAGAACACATTTGGCTCTGGTGTCTCCTGAGGGTCCAGGACATACCTGGGCTCCTGGCAGGTGCTGGGCAAGTCCCCGAGGGATTGAAAATCCCTTCTCTAGGCTCACAGCGCCTCCAGGGTGGGTTGCAGGCTGGAGCCAGCACAGGTGAAAGCCCATGGCCATGTCTTCTGTCACGAAGTCCAGGAGGATGGGGACTACAATTTACCCTCTGAACCGGGTTCAGGCCTCTCCCCAACCAGCAGAGTCTGCCTGGCTGTGTCCTCTTCTCTCTTACTGAGCCGGATGGACAACTGGCCTCCCGTCTTTCTCCTCCCACCAGCCACATGCTCCTGAGGGCAGAGCCCTCCCCTTCATCCGTAGGGGCTCCAGCAGGCCCAGCAAAGAGTCTGTGCTCAGGGCATAGTTGTTGAAGTGAATCTCTACCTCGGGAGCCTGAAATAAACAAAAAAAAAGAAGTAGTAGTAGGAAGGCATGGGGTGTATGCAAGTGTGCAGTATTGGGGTTTAAAACAACAAACTCCACACCCTCTGCTCAAGTTCAGGTGTGGAGCATTGCCACCATCCAAGGTGAAATGGTCAGAGCCGAGACTCCGTGGTTCCAGGACAGCCCCTGACAGGACACAGTTAACCAGGGAGCCTCCACCCCAGCCCCTGCACCAAGTGTCTGGCGGACCCAGCAGCATCCTCAGTGGGGTCTCCTGATCCCCATCTTAATCTGCCATACCCAGGGCCTCTTGGGGACTTCAGGGTCTCATTTTCTAAGCTGAGAAATGAATCAGGAGTTAGAAATTGAGGGGCGAGCAGGTTGTTAAAAATCAGAACAGACTGTTTTGTAGCCTAATTGGCCTTCTGCCTCAGCTGAGTAATTTGTATCTAAATTAAAGATCGCATTTTATTATGATCCAGGGAAGACACAGCAGGGGAGCGGGGGTTGGAGAAAACGCTCTCCCTGCCTGCTTCTTATAAGTGATCGCTGATTTGTGTGGATTGATTACCATCCAAGGCCTAGCAGAAGACGGCGGGTAACAGCAATGTTCTAAAAGCAGCAGCATTGGTGACATGTTATTAGAAATGGAAGCCACCACAGATGGCTTCTGACAGTGCTCAGAGTGCAGATAGGAATAATGAGGCTCTCGGGCCAGAGAGAGCTGCGTGGTTGTACAGCTGGAAATAGAGGGGGATGGGGGTGCTAGGGAATTACTTTTATTTAAAAAGAAAACCAAAATAATTTAGGAACCCACATCACAACAGCACCTCTGCAGATCAGCTCAGGCCTGCCAGTGCTGGGGGTCTGTGGTTGACAGAATGGCCCCCCAGAGATGTCCATGTGCTAATCCCTTGAACCTGTGAATATGTTACATTACACAGCAAAGGGGAATTAAGGTTGCAGATGGGACTGAAGATGCTAAGCAGATGACCCTGAGAAGGGGAGGTTATTATGGATTATCTGGATGGGTCCAATGTAACCACAGACTCCTTAAATCGGTCCCAGCTATGGGCATTAGAGTGTCTTCTTATTGGCTTTTGTGTTCTTTCGACATGACCCTGTCCATTTTTGAGCACTTTTTTACTTTCTAGTACAATGAGATATTCCAGGCTTGGTCCCAGCTATGGGCATTAGAGTGTCTTCTTATTGGCTTTTGTGTTCTTTCAACATGACCCTGTCCATTTTTGAGCACTTTTTTACTTTCTAGTACAATGAGATATTCCAGGCTTATCTTGTACATTTTCTGCCCCAGCCCTGGAATTGGCCATTTCTCCAAGGAGTTCTGATTCCTTTTATTAGAGAATGGAATTTAGAAACCAACACACATACACACGCACACATACACGTGTACACACCAGGGATTTAGATGTAACCAGTGGAACTAGGTAAGTGCTAGAAGAAAACGTGGGTAAATCCCTCTTTCAACATTGGTGTAGAGAAAGGCTGTATAGAACAATATTTGCTTCAGGGAATTGGCTTAGGCTCTTGTGGGGTCTGGCAGGTCCAAGCTCTGCAGGGCAGGCCCGCAGGCTGCAGACTGGCAAGCAGGAGCAGACGTGGCAAGGTCCAGGCAGAATTTCTTAACACGCTCCGAAGGCCTTTCAGTTGACTGGGTGAGGCCCCACCCACATCATCAAGGATAATCTTCTTTTGCTGAAAGTGCCCAGACTGTCCGTGTTAACCACATCCCCAGAATACTTCCACAGCAACACCCAGATTAGTGTTTCAATGAATAACTGGTCCCGTAGCCTGGCCCAGGTGACACATAAAACTGACCGTCACATGGTGGGTCTGGAGTCAGAGCTCTACTCAAAGTGTGTTCAGAGAACTGTCACCACCTCTCATCCAAGCCACCCTGTCCCCATTTCTCCCCTTCTTTTCACCCCATTCCCATACACTTCCTGTGGGCAACCAACCTTGTTAGTTTCTGGCGTTGGCTTCCGGTATTTCTTTTGCACAAATGAACAGATGTGCATTTTTTTATTTTATCCCCTTCTCTCTTACATGGAGAGTAGTATACTGATGGTTCTCTTTTGCACTTTGTTTTGTTTTGTTTTTTTCACTTAATATATCCTGGAAATCACTCCTCGTCGGTGCATACGGAGCTTTCTCATTCATTTTTACAGCTGCAGAGTACTCCCCATGCAGAATTTTAAAACTGTTTTCCCATGAAGAGGAATTTAGGTTGTTCCAATATTTTTCAGTTTCACATAGTGCTAAAGCGAATGGCCTTGTGCCATTCGTGTGTGTTTTCATACTGTTGTGCTATATCTTCAGGGTAGATACCTGAGTGGAACGGCCGGGTCAAAAGGTAAGGACGTGTAGTTTCCTTAGATATTGCTGGTTTCCCTCCAGAAAGTTTATACCAGTTTGCATTTGCACTAGATTTGGGGGTGACTGTGTCCCCACAGCCTCGCCAACAGGCTGTCATACATTAGAATTGTGACTGTCTCCTAAGTGAGAAATGGTGTCTCGGTGGTGTGTTAATTTGCATTTCTCTAACTACGAGTGAACCTGAACATTTTTCATATGTTCAAGGGCTGTTACCTTTTTTTGTGAATTGTTCATGTCTTTTCCCATTTCCTATCAGGTTTCTTTCTGGTCCCTTTTTAAGAGTTCTTTGTATGCTAAATGAGACATTAGGCTTTTGTTTGTAACATATTTTAGATATTTTTTCCCAGTTGGTCAGTTGCCTTACAATTTTGTTTTTGGTATTTTTGTTGCTATGCAATTTTTTTTTTTTTATGTAGTCAAATGCGCCAGTCTTTTATCACCCCTGGATTTGAGTCATAGTTGGAAAGCCTTTCCCCACACCAAGGTAAAGAGGGACTTGCCATGTTTTCTTCCAGCTTGTACTGGTCACATCCAAATTCCTGGTCTGTCTAGAGTTTATTCTTATGTATGGTGTGAACTGTGAATGAGATTTTGTCTTTTTCCAGTTGGGCTATTCACTTGCCCTGCTGATTGCGAAGCCCATCTTTGGCCCTCGTGATTTGAGATGCCCCCTTTGTCACATACTAATGTCCCCACCCTCTCTCCACACCTTTATAACCTGCCTCACCTACCTGGATCTGTAGTATTAATTTCTTCTCCAGACCCTCAATGGGTCCTCACCACTTACTGAATGTTTACAGTTATTCCTTACTTCATTCCAAGAAAATAGTTTATTATAGCTAGCACTTATTGAGCGCTTACTATGTGCTAGGCTTTGTGCTAAGCACTTAACATGTGTTTTCTCATTTAAACAAGCCACAATTTAAGGAGGAGGCAGAACTATTGTCATCCCTATTTTATCTGTCCAGAGTCACACACACAGCTAGGGGCAGAGGAGCCAGGCTGCATGTAGTATAAAAATAGACTCTCAGACCAATGGAACAGAATAGAGAACCCAGAAATCAATCCATATACCTACAGCAAACTGATATTTGACAAGGGCAACAGGAACACACATTGGCGAAAGGACGGCCTCTTCAGTAAGTGGTGCTGGGAAAACTGGATATTCCTATGTAGAAGAATGAAACGACCTGTACCTCTCAAACTCGAAATGGATTAAAGACATATATAAGACCTGAAACAATAAAACTACTAAAAGAAAACATAGGGGAAACACTTCAGGAAGTAGGACTGGGCAAAGACTTTCTGAACAAGACCCCAAAAGCACAGACAGCAAAAGAAAGAAAAACAAATGGGATTATATCAAACAA